TTGTATGGTTTCTAATTTTTTATCTTGTCAGTTTTTTTGTATATTGTTTTCCTAAATTGTTCTAGAATTTTGTCAGTGTTTTCCTTGATCTGCCTTGCAATCTGTTGAAGGTACCTAAATATAATTCTTTTGAATCAGGCAGTTCCAATGCTGCTTCTTTCTCAGAGAGTTTTTCTGGCTCTGTATCCTGGTCTTTTGTTTGTACTACTTTATTGTGCTTCTTTTTGTGGACTGGGATGGCCAGTTGTCTCTGAGATATTGTGATGTTGTTGTATTTATATTTAATTGGTGATTGTATGTTAGTGTGAATTGCCCAGGTTTTTTATATATATGTACATATGAGTGAGCAGGGGTATTGTGCTCCTCTAGTCACTAGTTTGCAGCACTCAGGCACACACCACTTCTCTCCTGGTGCATGTGATAGAGAATGAGAGTGTGTGTACAGATAGCTGTTAACTGTTCTTGAAGAGCAGTTGAGGGTGAGTTCGACTGGTATTGGCTGTTGTTTATTACTGATGATTTGGTGCAGAAGCAAGTGGTGGCTCTCACTCAGTGGGTGGGGATGCAGGAAGTGTGGGTGTGGTTGGGTCATGTGGGCACAGTTGTTGTCTCCCACCTGGTTATTCTAAATAAATAAATAAACCACCAAAAAAAAAAATAAAAACAAGGGAACAACAAGTCATATAAACAAACAGAAAGAATCACAAAAGAAAAAGGTAACAAACAAAAATTTAAAAATATTTTTAAAAAGACAAAGACAAAGAGAAAAACCGTGCACAATGTCTGGGGAGAGGGGAATAAGAGAAAAGAGCATAAGAAAAAGAATAATAAAGAAAAAATGAGAAAAATGCTAAATGAAAAACAAGGAATGGAAAGAACCAAAGTAGAAAGGAAGAAATGAAAGAAAAAAAGAGGGAACTAGGAAAAGAGAAATAAAAACAAGACTCAAGGGAGAGAGAGAGAAAATAAGTAAAAAGGAAGTAAGAAAGGAAGAACAAAAAGAGAATGATCTAAAAAACAAAACTGGTGGGGGAGCAGCAGGGCACCCAGGCTCTGTCAGAACTCCCTGAGCAAGATGGAATTCCTGATAATCCAGAAGGTAGGTGTGGGTGGGGGATGGCCACACTTCCATTCACCAAGAGGTTGTGGGGTACAAGAGTAACAAGGGGAATATTACACCTTTCTAGTCATTAGCTTCCAGTGGTTGCCCTTTCTGTCCTTGGCAAGCAGAACCTATTCTTAGGTGGCTGCCCAAACAGGAAAGCAGCCTGCAAAAAAACAAAAACAAAAACAAAAACAAAAAAACGTCCTTTAGGACAGTCATTAGTCCACAGCTCTGTTTGTCTACTTATTTGCTGTTTTCCTTTCTAGTTGTCAGCCACCAGTACAGTTGTCCATGTAGTCTCAGTACGCAGAGCTGATTCTCAGGATGCTGCCTGGATCATGATACCACTTGTAAATATTCAAATTGGTCATGCTGTCATGACAGCTGACAGCCTGCAGCTCTGTATATCTCTTTATTCACTGTTTTCATTTAGGTTCTTCTACTAGTTGTTATTTAATCCACTTCTTTATCCTTTCCTTCAAATCTCAGTGTTCCAAGATTATCTTCTGTATCTGTTTCAGTTGGTTCCTCTTTTTTTTTTTTGTTGCAGAGGGTCTGTGTTGCTTGTCTGCATATTCTGCCATCTTATTGGAAGTCCCCTTTTATTCTCATTTGCACTTCTTGATATTCATATTATCTTGAAGTTCATTTGTGTGCTGTAATAAATTAAAAGGAATCTTTCAGTTAGAATTTTCAAATTTCTAGGTTGTAAATTTTCACGGTTTTAAAAAATAATACACTTCTAAAAATAATTCACAGTGAAAAAGGGAATATTAGGAGTGTGAGGGTAGCATATCTGGATTTTCTCTCGTGTTCTATGGAGATAAAAGGGGTTGGGTTCACATGTTGGATCCACCACTTAACATTTCCATTGTCTCTAGTACTCTATCCTCATCCCTCAATGGGTATAATAATAGAACCCCCTTTTTAGGGTTGTTGTGCAAAGTAAGGGAGTGGTTTATGTGAAGCACTTAAAGTAAATCTGGCTCATGGTAGACAACCTAGAAAATGTTAGCTATTATTTCAAGTAGGAAATTTACTTATTCCTAGGACCTATAGGTAGAGTCATTATTTGTGATAGTTCAGGTTGTGTGTCAGCTTGGTTGGGTGGTGGTTTTGAGTGGCTTGGCAGCTGGATGCATTTATTCTACATGATGAGATTATAATCACCTCCTTGGTGGAATCTTCTGTAAGACATTAATCAGTGGAAAGGGAGTTGACTTTGGGGTGTGGTTTACATCCAGTAAGGAGCTCTGGTAGCACAGTGCCTAAGGCACCTGACTGCTAACCAGAAGGTTGGTGGTTCAAACTCACCAGCCACTCTGTGGAAGCAAGACTGGGCAATCTACTTCTATAAAGATTTACTACCTCAGAAACCCAATGGGGGTTGCTATGAGTCAGAATCGACTTGATAGCAGTGGATTTGGTTCCTGGTGGTTCTACATCCAGTATATATGGAAAAGTTTTGAGCAAGGCCTCTAGCATTTTGGCACATTTGGATCCTGCATTTGTCTGAGTCTGTGTTGTCTGTTGATCTTGGGATTGTTCCTGGACTTCAACCAGTGACCTGCTGTGTTGCCTGCAGATCTTGGGATTGTGCCATTTTACCTGCTGATCTTGGGTTCATCAGCCTCAGGAGCCAGCAGCTGAATGAGTTAGAAGCTTCTAGTTCCAGTGGGTCTGGAATAAGAGGTAGAGCTGAAAGCCCAAAGTCAAGAGGCTTTCACCCAGCCCCCAGAGCCAGCACTCTGTATTTGGACTTCTTGTCTTCTAAACTGTAAAAGAATAAATTCCTGTTTGGTAAAGCTTTCCACTTTTGGTATTTCTGTTATAGCAGCACTACAGAACCAAGACCTTATTGATGGCAATTTTCTCTCTATATGACCAGGGAATGTATATTCTCCAGTGCACATGAAAATCCAGCTACAGTTTACTGAGGTTACTAATTTACACAGTCATAAAGAAATTTTCAGTCTATTGCTTTCTTAAATAATATCTGGAGAAAAATAGCATGCTTGTGGCAGGCTTTAAGACTAAGGTGTAAAAATCTATTTATTTTTTGTATGACAAAAATCTTACATACTTATTGTAGAAATTTTGAAAATACAGAAAAGAATAAATAAAATGAAAAACCATCTATACTCCTTGGTGGACTTTAAGATTTATAATTCTAGTTACTTGAGTTTGGGAGCCTCTAATCATATTCACCAACGTCCTGATTTTTGAAATATGTACTTAACGTAGGGAGCTCTGGTGGCATAATGGTTTGCATTAGGCTGCAAACCAAAGTGTTGGAGGTTTGAACCCACTAGCTGCTCTGCAGGAGAAAGATGAGGTAGTCTGCATCTGTTAAGATTTATAGCCATGGAAACCTGATGGATCTGTTTTACTTTGTCCTGTAGAGTTGCTATGAGTCGGAATCAACTCATTGATAGTGGGTTTGGGCTTTCTGATACTTAACTTTGCATTTTGAAGCCACAGTTAAATTTTGGTAGAGTCATCTCATTCATCCTGATGTAAGTGAATTGGAAATATTCCAGAGACACAGGGACCCTTTTTCTTGGGGGAAGCACCTCCCTGAAGGGGAGGAGAGCAGGCCTCAAGGCCCCAGCCCCAAACTCTGGTGAAAAGGGTAGGTATAGAAGCTGCTGGAGATCCCCTCTTCTTCAGGACATCACTTCCATGCTTCTTCTTTTTGCCAATAATGAGTAGCAATGGATTTTTTTAAAAAATAACTCTGTTGTCTAAAGGGACAAATGTTTTCCCCCCACTTCTCTTCCTTTTCTGAAAGAGTGGGCTTAGTTTGGAGCTCTGGTAGCATAGTGCCTAAGGCATTTGATTGCTAATCAGAATCCTCCTTGGAAGGAAGGTTGGGCAATCTACTTCTGTAGTGATACCGCCTTGGAAATCCAAGGAGAGGTTGGAAACCCAAGGAGAGGTCGCTGTGAGTTGGATCTGACTCGAGGGCAGTTGAGTTTGGTTTAGGTTAGGCTCTTATTACTTGTGTTTGAAACCCATCAGAAGAGTTTGGACCATTAGCATTTGGACTTCTTATGAGATTTTTGCATTCCTCTAACTTTTAATAAAACTCTGGTGGTGTAGTGCCTAAGGCATGCTAACCAGAAGGCTGGCGGTTCAAACCCACCAGCCACTCCTTCGATGGAAGATGGGGCAATCTACTTCCGTAGTGATACTGCCTTGGAAACCCAAGGAGGGGTAGCTAGGACTCGGATCTGACTCCACGGCAATGATTTTGGTTTTTGGTTTGAGTATCTATATAAATCTTAGGGGACAGAGCCTGTTACAAGCAGATCATCCTCCCCCTGCCCCAAAGTTTTAAAAATAGTTAAGGCAATTTACTTAAGTCCTGAGTCCTGACATCAGAACAACTGTTTCCCTGCCTCCTCTGCATGGTGGGGAAATCTTACACCTTCCAAGGGTTTCCAGTTTCTGTTCTTTAGGAGGAACAGGTGGTAAAGAGAGAAATTCCCAATTCTGGAAAGAGGTTACTGGAAAGGATTTTCTATTGTTTGATAGTTTACTGAAAAGTTTTAAGTCTGCCCGAAAATTTAAAAACATCCAAACTGCTCTTTATTTAAAGGCCTCAGTGCTATTCTGACCCTTCCTGTTTGTTTACCAATAGTCCCGTAAACACAGCCGCTTCCTGGACAGAGGTGGTGTTCTCTGGGCTTTTCTAGTACCAACGAGCTCCTCCCCAGTCTTTTCTTTCCTCGGCTCCTCTGTTATCGCCATGCCACACCTCCCTTACTCCAAGGCGTCCCTTCCGGGTCCCCTGATTGGTGCACAGCGCAGCCTCGCCTTTTAGGGACTGTTGTTGGGCTTTTGAAGTGAAGGGGGAAAGGGTTCAGTGGCTGCTTTTATCAACCAATCAAATATTTTCCCGACAGTTCCCCAAATATTCCGGGGCCAATGAAGGGAAAAGGCCTAGATGCCTCTGCAGCTCCTTGGGGAGACAAGTTTCTTAAGCAGAGTTGGGAGGGGCGGAGCTGCTACGCTCTGGGCGCCCGCCAGCCCTGACCTGCACAGTCCGTGCCGCGGCAGGGATTTGTCTAGCGACGCGTTCCCTAGCAGGGGTGTGTTGGGGGGAGTCCTGTTTCCGACCATCAAAATGGTTATCAAAGTTTTTGTTGCCACATCTTCTGGGTCCATAGCGGTAGGTGTCTGGTGGAATTTCGGGGCTTTCATCCCCTACTCTTTTCTGAATAACTCAGAGTTGGAAGTAGGAGGAGCGGGTTGGCCTTAAATTTCTTTTCTTTGAAGAGTGTGTAAGTAAACCGTGGCTCTGCAGTAAGCGCGGGCGCCCTTGCTTTTTCCTGTGTCCGTTTTAATGGTGTCGGAGAAGCGTGTGAGATGTGTAATCTGTAATAGCTGGGTGTGAAAGGGGACTCGAGGAAGGGGGCGTGTTTGTTACTAGAATTTTTAAAAGGTGATTTGTGTCACGCACATTATAGAATCAAGGCTTTTTTTTTGGGGGGGGGGGTGTTTCTGTCTTTGGTTCTACAAGAGTTAGACTAGTTTAAAAAACATTTTGTAGAACACTTGTTTGGAACGTGTGATGTAAGTACTTGCATATATGCAAGGTAACCACGACGAAAATGTAAAGTTAGAATGTGTAATCCTATTATTTGGGGACAATGATGTCACAGCCACAAGAACAAATATGTCTAAGGCCATGTTTTTAAAAGTTCTAGGAATTCATACAGACCAAACATAGGTACTAAAACTCTACCTCTATTACATGGCTTTGTCTGATTTCCTTGAGACCAGGCTCCGAATTTCCGTTCACCTCCCAACTCTAGCGTCACTCTGTGCCATGTAGACCTGTCTTAAGAAATAGGGGCAATGAAATGACTCATTTCTCCTTTGAAACAAATCACACACTTTGGTTTTGAGCTTGATCTGTAATGTTATCTAGGACTGATATTTTTGACCAGCAATTATAGGAGAAGTTTAGGAGGACTGTGGAGAGAAAACAGGTTTATTAATCCCCAGACACGGAGAGCAGCAAGGGGACTGTTTCCTTTTATATCTGATTCCTGGACAATCTCGGATTTCAGCATTCCCTCAGCCGGAGATGACACCATAAGGAAAGAAATGTCAGGGTAGCAGCTCTAGTGGTAGCGATTGAATTCTCCACTCCCAGCCCTGAAAGTTCATGAGGTTTCCAGAGAGAGTGAGAAGAAAACATGAGAAAATAACTTGATGGTTACTTCTGTGCGCAAACAATTGTTTAGTGATCTCTAAAACAGTTGAATGGAGAAGAATGGGTAAAAATTCCAAATGTAGAATTCCCCTGCAAATCCTTTGTGATTATTGTTGACCTTAGAAACTTTCTGTTGATCTACGAGTACATTTTTAAATTATTTAGGAAAATGGTTTTGGTTGGCTTTAAATATTATGCTGATGCTCATTGTTGCCAGTGTTTACCAGTACCTACCAATCTTCGATATATTCTGTAGACTTAGCCTGAGTGGCTGTCTGTATTCCTCAGAAGGTGATGAATACATTTATGGATTACTTAGGATTATCTGATGTCCTACATTATTGGTGTTTGGGAGCAAGATTTAGTAAGCCCTGCAGTATCTAGAGGGGAGCTGTTCATTACCAGATCTTGGAAAAGTCAAGTTAATTCTGGTTCCCTTATCAAATGTTTTAGTGCACTTGTACCTGTGTGACCTTGGGAAAGTGATTTCACCTTGTTAAGCCTCAATTTCCTTATCTGTAAAATGAGGATAAGAATAGTACTCACCTCATAATGTTGTCATGAGGACTTAGGAAATAACATGTGTGGGAGGCCTGGCATAGTGTCGGGTACTTAGTTGACATTCAATAAATCTTACTTAGTTAATATTATCGTTATTAACTATTGTAAATTAATGTTAATACTAGTTAATATTATAATTACTAAAAATGTTAGTTATATTAGTCAATGTTAGTTAATATTAATATTATAATTATTTTTAGTTTTTATAATTATTACTTAGTATTTTCTAGTAGATCTGGATCTGTGGTGATTGTGTTTCAGGAGAATTGTTCAAAGCTACATAAATAGGAGAATTTCTGTTTTGTCCTAAAGAGTGAGATTACTCTTAATATCTCAGTGTTAATGATTTTTAGTGGGTTGTTGACTCATAGCAACCTTATGTACAAAAGAACGAAATACTGCTTGGTCCAGCACCATTCTCACAATCCCTACTATGCTTGAACCCATTGTTGCCTTCACTGTGTCAATCCATCCCTTTTTCGATGACCCTCTACTTTGCCAAGCATGATATCCCTCTCCAGGGACTGGTCCTTTCTGACAACATGACCAAAGTAGGTAAGATGAAGTCTGGCTATTTTAGTGGGTGGGTGGGAGTATTTCACCCAAAAGCTTCTTTGCAGAAGAACTCACTAGTGCTCATGCTGGTTGTGTGGTGGTTTCTTGCCTGATGCCTAGTCAACAAGGGCATTAGAACTTCTGTTGAATGAATGAACTAGATGAAAAATAAAAAATCAAATTGTAATGTTTTTATGAGGAAGTAAACAATGTACTCTGGTAGCGTAGTGCCTAAGGCACTTGACTGCTAACCAGAAGGCTGGTGGTTCAAACCCACCAGCCACTCCTCAGAAGGAAGATGGGGCAATCTACTTCCGTAGTGATACTGCCTTGGAAACCCAAGGAGGGGTTGCTATGAGTTGGGTCCAACTCGATGGCACATAACAGCAACAACAACAACAAACAATATGCAGCTATGTATTATATCTCTATTTTATCCTTTGACTCTGGACAGCTGTTACATATTTTACCGTTTCATGGAGTGGTTTGGGTTAAGAGACTCTGGGTAGTGGAAGACCTATGTCTTCTTGTATGACCCTCCTTTCTTCTCGAGACTCCATTGCTACTACGGGGTTTTGAGAAAAAGGGAAAGAGGACTGTCATCACTTTCTTCCAGATATGTGCTACTTGTGAGGGGCAAATCCTGGAACATGATCTTTAAAGAAAGCTTCTAATGGTGGCTGCTAGGTTTCTGAATCTTCTCTCCCATCTTGATGGAGGGTGTAAATATGTTGGAATATGGCTCTTGAATGAGATTGACCTGGGTGTAAACCTTGGAAAATTAATTTCATCAGAGCCTCAGTTTTCTTATTTTACAATGGTAGGAAGAATACTATTGTGAAGATTAAGCAAGATGAAGATGTGCTGGGTACCTGACAGTGTAGGTTCTCAAATGATGGTTCAAAATGAGTTTCCGTGTGTTTTCTTATGAAACTTTTACCAAAACCTTGTGTGGTGATGGTGATGTTATATCCATTTTGCAGAGGAGGGAAGTTGAAAATCAGAGCTCTTGCTCAGATAACAACTGTCAGAGTCAGGACAGGAAGACAGATTGTCTGTGGGTCAAATCCTTTGTGCCTTTGCTACAGTACAGTGACCTCAGTTGGAAAGTCTCCTAACTGTACAAGACAATAAACAGGGAATGCCAAGTACATAGCACAAATAGGCACTGCTATCAGTTCACTCCCACATGTGACAGCAGCTCCAGCAGCATGTAGCTTCAGGGCAGAAAAGGACACTATCCTATAAGTAAGTGTTACAGGATATGAGCCTCTGCTGAGCTCCTAGAGACTCCCCAAGGTGGCACAGGTGCCAAGTACCTCCAATCTTCAGGTGGTGCAGCCTGCTGGCCTTCATCATTCATCACACATCTAAGGGTGTAGAAGGATGTAGAAGTCCTCACTCAAGGTGAGAGAGAGACAGAGACAGAGACATACATACATACATACAGACAGACACAAACACACACACACACACACACACACACACACACACACAGACCCACAGGGTCTGCTCAGGTGGCCATGTGTACAAGAGCTCTGCTTCTACCAAGAGGGCCCAGTACAGTAAGGCTCCTTGAAGAGGGACCTCATTCAGTGAGGGAGGTTTGTAGGAGAGAGGGGGCCTAATTCTAGAGTCAGGCATGGTTGTGAGTGTGTTGTGGGTATGCTGGCAAAAGTGACAATGCTGGTCAGATGAGCTCATGAGCTCCCCTACTCTTCCTTTCCTAGGTTGGGCCTAGAGGCCCTCTTTGCAGGCCCCCAGCCCCAGGTGAACTCAGGCTCCAAATAGCCTGATGAGCTATGCGTTTGGCCCAACTTTAGTTACTGGTGTTTGGGGAGTACAGAGGAGCCAACAGATTTTGTTTCTCTTTTTGGGGGGAGGAGAGGGAAAGGACAGAGAAATAATATCATGCATCTACCAGTCACTTTGTGTGCTTTAGATGCAATTGCTTGGCTCATAAGGAATAACAGTGAGATCTTCTTCTCTCATCTTCTCTATAACCCCCTCTCCTCCATTCCTTGCTCATAGAAGAAACAAATCAGGATTTTTTTGAAAATATTTTTCATTTATTCAGAAAGAATGGAATAAAATAAAATATTTTTTCCATCCCTCCTCAAGGCCTGAGGAATAATAAGTAGAAATGGAAATAATGGTGAGGTGACTGGTCCTTTTCCAGTTGCTTCTCAGGCAGACTCGGGCTCCCAAGAAGGTATCTGAGAAGCGTTTTGGAAGAAGGGGAAATAGGAATTTGGCAGAATGAATGATTTTGCCTTCTGAGTATTTAAGTGAATGCAAACTTGCCTAAAATGAAGATAACTCCACTCTGAAATAACAGAGTTACCTCTGGAAATATCTGGAGGAATAATGCATAAAATGTCACAATAGTTATGGACAAGTTGGAAAGGATTTAGAGAGAACTTGATTAATTAAGATAATATTTAGTTCAACAACAATGCCATCAGGTCTGGTGGGATTTTGTAATATTAAAAAATGAAGCCATGAAGTTGTGGAATTTGGAGTCCAGTTTCCGGAGGAGAGGCAGAAGCCCATGGGCTGGTGGAGCCCAGCTTCAGAGGACAGGTGTCTGCAAGCAGTCCGGCACTTTTAGGTCTTATCTAGGTGTTACAGTCAGGAAGGTGTCAGTGAGAGCCCTTATGCTAGAGGTTTATGGGCATTTCCATCATTCTGTGCCTTTCTGTATGACTTTTATTTTATTTTTTTTGTGTACAATGGCCCCAAGCTGAGCTATATGTTTTGTCTGAATTTTACTAATTGTTAGTGGTGGATTGTAGGAAACAGCAGCCTTTAATTTATTTGTCTAATGTGAAAGCTGGACAGTGAGTAAGGAAGACTGAAGAAGAATTGATGCATTTGAATTATGGTGTTGGTGAAGAATATTAAATATACCATGGACTGCCAGAAGATCAAACAAATGAAGTATAGCCAGAAAGCTCCTTAGAAGTGAAGATGGGGAGACTTCACCTCTCATACTTTGGTAAGAGAGGGACTAATCCCTGGGGAAGGATATCATGCTTGGTAAAGTAGAGGGTCAACGAAAAGAGGGAGATCCTTAATAAGATGCATAGACACAGCGGCTGCAACCATAGGCTCAAGCATAGCAACAAAGATGGTGTAGAACCAGGCAGTTTTTCATTGCATGGTACATAGGTCACTATGAGTGGAACCAACTTGATGGCACCTAGCAACAACAACAACAGCAGCAACAACAACAACAACAATGCTTCTAGTCCCAATATATTTATTATTTTGATCATACAATCAATTAAAAATTAAGTGTGTGATTATTATTGTTATATATAATACTAAAAAAACCAAATATACTGCCGCTGAGTCAATTCCAACTCATAGCAATGCCCATTCAGTTTCCAAGGCTGTAAATCTTTATGGATGTCGATTGCCTCATCTTTCTCCTGTGGAGCAGCTAATGGTTTTGAACAGCTGACCTGCTGGTTTGTAGCCAAATGCCTTACCCACCAGACCACTAGAACTCCTTTTATTTATAAAAATGCATACATAATTTTATATACAATATGTATGCATGTGTATATATATATATATATAATCACACATTTAATTTTTTAATCCTTGAATAATTTCCTTGTAGTGGTGATTTGATTCCATATGTGTCTCACTTTTCCTTATATAAGAATATTCTATTTACAAGCCATTGATAGAGTCATTCATTTTGCTAAAAATGAATAACATAATTTTTTTTTGGGTGGGGTGGGGTGATACAGATGTCTAAGAGGAGTCCTTAGAGTGGTGCAAATGGTTAAGCACTTAACTACTAATTAAAAGGTTGGAGGTTCAAATCTACTCACAAGTGCCTTGGAAGAAAGGCCTGGTGATATGCTTCTGAAAGATCACAGCTGTTTAAAACCCTGTGGAGCACCTACCTACCCTATGGAGATGCACCCTTTAGATCAATCAGCTATGAGACGTCTGAGGGGTAGCATTTACATGGAGGGAAAGCTGGACAGACAGGAATGCATACATAAGAAGGGCACAAGGAAGGGGTAGTGTGGTAGTTATGGTTAGGTGTCAACTTGTCTGGGCCTGGTTTTGAGTGGCTGGGCAGCTGGATGTAGTTATTCCCCATGATGAGACTAGTAATCAACTCTATGGTAGAATCTACTATGAGCAGCTGAGTAGCTGCCTTAGGGATGTGGTCTGCTCCTAGTATATAAGGAAAAGCTTTAGGTATGGTTTGCAGCATTTTGGCATGCTTGGACCCTGTGTGTAGCTGAGTCTTCATTCAACAGCCTGCCGTGCTCTGCCTGTCTTGGTACTCTTAATGGACTTGAATCAATGGCTTGCCATGTGGTTTGGTAATATCAGGACTGTGCCATTTTATTTGCTGGGCTTGTTAGCCTCAGCAGCCAGCAACTGCCTGAATGAAGAGACACCTCTGGCTCCAGTGGGCTGGGAGCAAGAGGGAGAGCTGAGGCCCAAGGTTGAAAGGCTTTCACCCAGCCCCAGAGCTTGGCATTTTGACCGTGGACTTCTAGCCTCCCAAACTAAGAGAGTAAACTCCTGTTTGTTAAAGCCATCCATTTGTGGTATTTTCTATTAAGAGTGGCACTAGGTAACCAAAACAGGTAGTCATGGGGAGGAGAAAGGAAGAGTTTTTTATAGTTGGGGATTGTAATTGGGATGTGAAATCGAATGTGCACTAACTGTTTAGAGTAAAACTAATCTGCTTTGTAAATTTGCACTCAAATCACAATAAAAAAGGGAAAAAGAAAGAAAACTCAGTGGAGCATAGTTCTGTTCTGACATATATGGGGGTTGGCAACTGGTTAGATCTCTAAGAAGGGAATTACAGGTTTAACCAAACGATAGTTTAAATCTAGACATTAGGTATAGGAAGAGCAGGTACCTTTTATAGCAGTTATTTGAAATCCTCACAGATCCTGCTGCTGATAAACAAATTACATGAAAATGACTATGGACCTTTGTACCCTTGTAAAGTATTTTTAATTTGTTTTCATTATGAGGCAATATCCTATTCAGAGGACTTATAAAACATTCTTTTTTCTAAATTAAGGTATTACATAATTTTTTGTGTCAAAGAAATACTTACTTAAAATTTTAATCTTATGTTAAAAGATGGTTATGTTTTTGCCTCTTCTTTATGTGCTATGTCTAGATCGTACATTCATAATTCTTTATTTTCATCCTAACGGTTTATGAATCTATTCATGTGAAGGGCTTGGTATAATGTCTTTTGCAGAGTAGAGTCAATAAGTAGTTACTTACTGATTACTCCACTAATTACTCTTTTTGTAAATCTCTCTCAGGGTTCTGAAAATGGAGTCCACATAATCTTCTGTGATTTGTTTAACAGTGTTTGTAAAAGATGGTGTCATCTATTTCCTGTAGTTAGTTCTTTGAAGAGGGAAAATTGTTTGTAATTGTTGATAGGGCAGACTTTATAGCCACAATAACAAGAAATGGCAATTGGTTGACATAATCGTTACACATAAAATGGGTAGAGGGAAGGGCACTTGACTGGTTCTTACTCAGGTGTGGCTGGCACTTCACTCTCAGTAAAGAGAGGAGTGGGATATGAGCAGGAAAAGGAGGAATTCCTGAGAGAAAAGGATTAGTTACTCTTTTATGTGCTGGGAAAAATATACATCAGTTCTTTCTAGTCTTTCCTCCATGCTCCTATTTTCATAATTTTGAATGACATGCATTTTAGCACTTGATAGTAAATTGTATTTTCTCTTTTCTTTTTCCTCTTCAGTCACAACTCTTGTCTTCCTTACTTTTTGGTCTTTGAAGCTTAGCAGAGCTTAAAGTATGGTCCAGTCCAGCTCTCCTGTAGATTTAAAAAATATTTTGAAGATCTCAGATGAAAGATGAAATGATGAGAGCATTGCTATGTTTATTGGGCTGAATGTACCATAATTTAAGAATAGATGTGATTAAAATTTCAGAATTTAAATAATCACTCTTGATATTTTATAATGAAGAAGTATGATCTTATTGTTTTCCTTATTTAAATATTCAACAAAAATTATAGGTATTGTACAGTGTGTCTGGAGTAAGGATTTAATTTATGTAAATATAAAAAGATATTTTTCAAAAACCGCATAATAATTACATTTTCTCTACTCTCAACCAGATCAGGAAGAAACAGCAAGAAGTAGTGGGCTTTTTGGAAGCGAATAAAATAGACTTTAAGGAATTAGATATAGCTGGAGATGAAGATAATAGGAAGTGGATGAGAGAGAATGTACCTGGAGAGAAAAAGCCTCAAAACGGGATTCCTTTGCCCCCCCAGATCTTCAACGAAGAGCAGTATTGTGGGGTGAGTATTCAATTTCATTGAAAATTCTGCTCATGTGTTTATAAGAAACTGTTTAAAATGGATTAAATTTGAGGTAGCATTTGATATTGCTCACAATTTACAAGTTCTGATCCATTTTTACCATCCAATGCCTATTGTGAATAATCCAAGCTGTTCATGCCGTCCGGATCGCTGACAGTCCATAGCTCCCTATGTCTTCATTTTTGGTGTTTTCATGACAGTTCTTCTACTAGTTGGAGTTTAGTCCACTTCTGTATCCTTTCCTTCAAAGCTCAGGGCTCCAGGATTATTTTTTGTATCTGTGTTAATTGTTTCCTCTTTTCTTTGTTGAATAGGGTCTGTGTAGTTTGTTTGCCTATTCCGCCATCTTACTGGAACCCCCTTCATAAATTTTTTTGTTGTTGTATTTGATAATCTGTCATTAAAGAATGCCTTTGAATTGTGGTGTTGGTGAAAAATAACATGGGCTGCTTGAATAATGAACACATCTGCCCTGGACGAAGTGCAGATAGAATGTTCCTGAGAAGTAAGTGTGTCCAGACTTTGTCTCACCTACTTTGGTCATTTGTCAGAAGAGATCAGTCCCTGGAAAAGGATATCATGCTTGGTAAAGTGGAGGATCAGTGAAACAGGGGAAGACTTTCAATGAGATGGATTGATGCAGTGGTTGTGACACTGGGCTCAAGCATTGCAAGGATTGTGAGGATGGTGCAAGACTGGGCAGTGTTTTGTTCTGTTGTACATAGGGTCACTATGAGTTGGAATTGACTCAAAGACACCTAACAACAACATAAAAAACAATCATCAAGGAAACCTAGGTCCCAAAGCTTCACCTGTATGTTTTGTCCTAAGAAGTTTATGGTTTTAGATTTAACACATAGGTCCTTGATGCATTTTGAATTAGTTTTTTTTTTTTTTTAATTGTGATTTGGCTGAAGATTTACAGAGCAAATTCACTTTCCATACAGCAGTTCACATACACTTTGTATCATGACATTGACCACAGTTTCCCACAATGCAACAGCTCCCCTCCAACTTCCTCCCTATAGTTACCTCTTCCCAGTGTCCATCCCTCCATGCACTCCTGCTCCCTGAGCTGTTTCTCTGTGCATAAGCAGCGCTTCTTTCTCCCACGATTGTTCTCTCCAAGGAGTGTATCTACTTGAGGTAAATGTTCAACTCATATGCCTGTCTTTTGTTTGGCTGGAAACCATGGGTGTGGATTCAATTCCAGACCTGAAGGGCAGCTAGGGGGCCATAGTTTCAGTGGTTCCACCAGGCTCCATCAGACCAGCAAACCTGGTCCCCCCCTCCTTTTTTTTTTTCCCCAAATGATTTTGAGTTTTGTTCCACATTGTTCTCCCTCTCTATCAAGGATCTCCTACATAGATCCCCTTCCACATGGATGACAGTGGTAGCTGGGCACCATTTAGTTCTTCTGGTCTCATAGTCTGAAGATTGGATGGTGTACCAGTCGCTAGGACTAATTGTTTCCATGAATTTTGGTTTTCTTCATTCTTCTTTGCTTTAGATGAGGAGAGACCCATCATTGCATCTAGATGGCAGCTTGCTAGCTTTTAAGATACCAGTCGCTCCTCGCCAAAGTAGGAGGTGGAACAGTGTTTTGTATAGTATGTTATGCCAGTTGAGCTTGATGTCCCCTGTGACTATGGTCCTAAGTCCACAGGTTCAACTACTCAGTCCCTCTGGGTAGCTGGTTGTGACCAAGCCATGACCACACCTTGCCCTTTGTCAGCTCTACTGTATACCTTGGAATTCTGATCATTCACGTAAACTTATAGGACCATTGTCTGCCAACCCTATACATGTTCTTGGATACACTCCCCATTTCATAGACATACCTAATCGTTCATCCTGTCCACCCATCTATTCACCCATATACCCATGTTTGCCTTCACTGACAACACAGTACTGTATATGCAAAAGGGTTCATCTTTGTTGTTTGTACTTCCCATGTACCCCTCTATGTCTTTCTCTTCCTCAATGTCACCATATTGGTCACTCACATTTGGTATATTGCCCTTCTCTTCACCCAATTCAATACTTATCTCTATCTATCTAACAGAGTTTCTTCCCCTCCCCTCCCACTCCTGGCAACCAACAAAGAAAATTTCCTTCTATAGATAAACCTTTCCTTAACTTTTACAATAACGGACTAATACAATATTTGTCCTTTTGTGATTGACTTATTTCACTCAGCATAATGTCCTCCAAGTTCATCCATGTTATGTGGTGTTTTGCTGATTCTACATCATTCTTTAGCATTTCATAGTATTCCATTGTGTGTATGTACCATAGTTTGGTTATCCATTCCTCAGTTCCTGGACACCTAGGTTGTTTCCATCTTTTGGCTATTGTAAATAGTGCTGTGATGAACATGGGTGTGCATATATGTGTTCTTGTCATGGCTCTCACTTCTTTAGGGTAGATACCTAGTAATGAAATGGCTGGGTCAAATGGTATTTCTATTTCCAACTTTTGAAGGAATTGCCAAACTGCTTTCCACAATGGTTGTACCATTTTACAGTCCCACCAGCAGTGTATGAGAGTCCCAATCTCTCTACAACCTCACCAGCATTTGTTATTTTCTGTCTTGTTGAACTTTGCTACTAGTGCTGGAGCAAGATGGTGTCTCATTGTTGTTTTGATTTGCATCTCTCTAATAGCTGATGATCGTGAGCATTTCTTCATATGTTTGTTGGCTGCTTGAATATCCTCCTTGGTGAAGTGTCTATTCATGCCTTCTGCCCATTTTTTAATTGGATTGTCTTTTTGTTATTGAGGTGTTGGAGTTTTCTATAAATCCTAGTGATAAGTCCCTTGTCAGATATGTCATTACCAAATATTTCTTCCCAATCTGTAGGTTCTGCTTTGATGAATTAGTTTTTCTGTAATGTGTTGAGGTATGGATCTTGGTTCACTTTTTTGTGTGTGGAAATCTAATTTTCCCAGCACCATTTGTTAAAGAGATTGTTGCTTCCCTGTTGAATTGACTTAGAACTCTTGTTGAAAATGTGTTGACCCAGATGTATGGTTTTATTTCTGGGCTCTCAATTCTATCCCTTTGGTCCATGTCTATCGTTAAACCAGTACCAGGCTATTTTGATTACTGTAGCTATGTAGTATGTTTTATAATTGGGAAGCTTGAGATCTCCATTCTTCAAAATTACCTCAGCTATTTATGGTCTCTTGCCTTTCTATATAAAGGTGAGAGTTAGTTTTTCCATTTGTTGTTTGACTTTTTAAAGTGATTTTTTTTCCTTGTAATGCAGAATTTTTGTGTAGACAAATTTATTAATCTTTTTGCTTTATAGCTGCTGGGCTTTAATTCTTCTTTAGAAAAGCTTTCACCACTCTAAGATTATTAAAACAATTATCTCATGTTCTCTTCTGAAACTTTTCCAGTCAAAATTGGATTTTAAGTCTTTTAGTTTTGATTATTTTAACCATCCTTTTTCAGTTATGGCTAGTGATGGCAGAAACAGTAATGAAATGTATCGTTTTCAATCTATATTGACCCCTACGATAAAATTCCACACTTATTTTCTCCTCTAAAGATAAAACTTCCAAGTTATCTTTTATCTCATTTTGTTGTGGTCAAAAATAGTTTTGTTTTTAATTGAGAGGGACAAGAACAGAGTTCTCAAGTAATGACTTCTATTTTTAAGATACATTTTCAGATAAACAAATATGAATTTAATGAGATGAGTATCCAAGTTATTTTATGTTTAACTGATTTTTGGTGTTTTACAGTTATGCCTTCAGAGAGGAATTTAGTTAGTAAATTTGCTAGTTACTTTTCTGCATTGTATAGACGTTTTTGGGAGCTCTGGTGGTGTAGTACCTAAGGCATTTAACTGCTAACCAGAAGGGTGGTGGTTCAAACTCACCAGCCATTCCTCAGAAGGAAGGTTGGGCAATCTACTTCCATAGTGATACCTCCTCAGAAACCCAAGGAGGGGGTCACTGTGAGTTGAAGTCGACTCTAAGGCAGTCAATTTGTTTGTATAGATGTTCTTAACAAGAGAGCATTAATGAAGCTGAGGGCTTTGTTTACAAAAAGTAGGTAAAAATGACTACCATATTTTTATGTAAGTAACAAATGCCTTTTTCATTTATTGGCTGACTGCATCTCCCTCCCCACTCCATGAAGTATATTTGCTAATTTTAATTTTTTTTCACATATGCCAACTGCACCCTCCTCACAAGGGGTATTTTCATAAATGTACTATGCCAATTTTTTTTTCCTATTGCTGTAGCATTCATAGGAAAATACCTTGTGTAGGAAGGGCATGGTTGGCAACCAAATATAGATGGTGCACATTATTTCTGTAAAAATATGGTATTTATATTGTAACTCAGATTTTAAAACAAGACTCAAAATTTCAGAAGGATATGTCAGGTTTGTTGTTGTTATTGTTTGCTGCCATTCAATCAGGCCACAACTCAGGATGGACCCATGCTTAATGGAATGAAATGCCATCTGGTTTTGTGCCATCCCTATGATTGGTTGCAGGTCTGACCATTGTGTTGGCTTGGCTGATTTTTTGAAGCAGATCACCAGGCCTTTCTTTCTAGTCTTAGGCTGGAAGCTCCCCTGAAACGTGTTTAACATCATAGTTACACATACGCCTCCACTGACAGATAGGTGGTGGCTACACATGCGGAACATTAGCTGGAAATTGAACCTGGGTCTTCAACTTGGAATGCAATAATTCTATTTGGATAGGCAGTCAATGTATCTTTCCATATGATTAAAATGTATACTATAAGAATTAAAGTCATTTAACTGATTTCTTAGGATTCTCCAATAGTGAGAGGGATTGACACAGTGGCTGCAACGATGGGTTCAAGCATAGCAAAGATTGTGCGGATGGCTCAGGATTGGGCAGTGTTTCGTTCTGTTGTACAGAGGTTTGTTATGAGTCAGAACCAACTCAATGGCTCCTAACAACACAACAGCAACAACATGCCATCTG